ACAGCAAGTAATTGCTTACACATGTCATTGTGCTGAGCCCAGTTCCAATCATCTGGTGCCCGGGCTAAGTCAATCCAAATCCTTATTTAGAGGACTTTTTCCAGATTTTGAACATTTTCATCTGGTGGTGCCCTCCTCTGAGCTACCGACAAGCTCTTCTCTACTTCCTTAAGCTGTAGAATCTAGACCAGTTACCCTGTCCCACCCAGACCTTGTCTAAAATGGCCTGCATGGGGGTGTGGCATTACATACCCCTCTATAGACCTTGGAAGACTGGTGCATTCTTTTAGGGACCAGGGTAGTCTACCCCCTATCACATGACAGAAGAATTGAGAGTTTTTTTTTGTTTTGTTTTTTTTTTTATAGAGGCATGCTTTATTTATTTGTTTGCTGGTTTCTTTGTTTGTTTTGTTTATACATGCACTGGGTACAGTCAGAAGCGCGGGAGGGCGAGAGAATTCACCAGAGCCAGAGCGGGGAGCAGAGCAGGCAGAAGGACCGAAGTACACTGCTGAGGGGAGCAGCGGGCGGCAGGAGAGGTCTGCGCGCCATGTGGGACCCTCCTCCGGTGGCCGGGGAGCAGCCGGGGATCGAACCGGCGCCGCAGAGGCCGCGCGCAGCTTCGCAACCCAGCGCTCAACCGCTGCGCCACCGGGGAGGCCCAGAATTGAGAGTTTTTATGACAGGGTGAGACAAAGCCTGAATCTTAGGGAATTCTCTTTAGTAATACTACGTCATGAGATGTCATGGGATCAAATGGAGGAACCATGTTTGTCCATGTCATTTATTTAAGATAGTTGGGTAACAACAAAAGTGGGAGGAGAGAGGACCAGGCCCCTTCTGGGGGTTTTAGAGAAGGAAGGATCCCACGCACCCGGTGTCTGTTGCCGCAGTCCCTCCTATTCACCTCTCCAGTGTATTTCCCGAAACCTCCACAGAGGTGTCTGCCAGCTACCCCTTGTCCATCTTTCTTGTGTTGCTGCATTGCAGGGCACCGTGAGTCCTTGTGCCCATCTTGTACCTGGTACATGCTGAGTGCTTGGTAAACGAAGCTGGTCTAGAGTGCTTTTCTTTTTCAGTTCTGCTTGTCCTGAATCTACCCTCATTTCAAATAACATCACAAAAACCTTGTTGTTAAGTGATCTTTGTTCTGTGTTGCCATAGCACTTAATGTATATTTCTAAGCATTATTATTTTCTTTTATAAATAGTTCTTTAAATGGATTCTCCCTTTCCAGTTTTTAGACACCTTGGGAGCAGGATCCTCATCTAATTCATGTCTTTATCTTCTATGCCCACAGATCTGTGCCGGGCACATACTAAATAATAGCTTTTATACAGCATGTACCATGTGCCAAATATTGTTCTCTAAATTCACGTTTATTCTGTAATTCTCAAACAGCTTTACCTGCTAAGAACTATCACTAACATCTATCTGCACTTTTTTTTAAATTTATTTATTATTATTATTATTATTATTTTTTACAATTTCTTTTTTTTTTTTTTAAGATTTATTTATTTATTTATACAAGCACTGGGTACAGTCAGAAGCACGGGAGGGTGAGAGAATTCACCAGAGTCAGAGCGGAGAACAGAACAGGCAGACCAATGAAGTACACTGCTGAGGGGAGCAGCGGGCGGCAGGAGAAGTCTGCGCGCCATGTGGGACCCTCACCCGGTGGCCGGGGATTGAACCGGTGCTGCAGAGGCTGTGGGCAGCTTCGCAACCCAGCGCTCAACTGCTGCGCCACCGGGGAGGCCCTGCACTTTTCTTTTTTAAAGATTTGTTTTTATTTATACAAGAGCTGGAGTACAGGCCAGAGGCACGGGAGGGTGAGAGGATTCACCAGAGACAGAGTGGGGAGCAGAACAGGCACTGCTGAGGGGAGCAGCAGGCAAGACAGGAGAGGTCTGCCCCGCCATGTGGGAATCTCCCTGGCCGGCTGGGAATCGAACCCACGCTTCAGAGGCTGCGGACAGCTTCACAGCACTGAACTCAACCCGCTGCGCCACCGGGGAGGCCCTGTCTGCACTTAGTAGGTAAGGGAATTGTGTTCAATAATTTGCTCAGGGGTCATATAGCTAGGAAGGAGAGCAGCTTGGGTTCAACTCCAGATGGCAGTTTCCAGTCTGCTTAACCTTGTCTCAATGCTGCCTTGCACACATATATTACATATATATCACACACACATAAATATATATGTATACTGCTTTTCCCACACTTCCATACCTATGGTAAAGTTTAATACATACGTGTTCCTGAGAACATCATATAAATACTTGTTGAATGCATGCGTTGATACTTCTTATTTAGAACAGTTGATATTTCTTAATTATTTAGAACTAATAAACAGCTTGAAGATGATCCATTATTGCTTTCATCCCCACCGTCCATGCTGTTTTCTAAGCAACAGGGACACCAGAAGGAGGTTCTGGAGGTTGGTTCTAGTGATTCTGGAAGCCCGGGTTGGGCTGGCGGATTCTGGTTTGAAAGTCAACAGTGCCACCTAGTGGAATAACTTGCTACGATCAGCTCAAAATTATTTTTCTGAAACCATGGTACATGGCCATCTAATTTTGGAAGCCCCCTTTATATGTTCACTTTCGGGTTTGATTGCCAGAGGGAGAGGATAGTGTGAGAAGGAAGACACAGTCCTTCCTGCCTTCAATGGAGTTCAATTTTCTCTTTCCCTTGAAAAGGCTGTGACACACAGATCATGGTCACTGGGGTGGCTGAGCCCCACGGACTGCTATCAGTGTACAACACTGTGCTCCAGGCACCCTTTCTTCTCACACATGCTGCTGGCATTATAGGCTGCTGTTCCTCTCTTGATGCTTGCCTCGGGGGCTGTTTCTGCTTTGAGGATCCAGTCGTCTATGGGTGCCTACTTTACTACAACACTATACCATTGCCCTCTTATCTTCAGGGAATACATTTCAAGACTCCCAACAGAAGCCTGAAGCCATAGATAGTACTAAATCCCATATATATATTACACACACGCATATATTACAAATATACATTACACACATGTATTACATCTATATCACGCACATATAAATATATATGTATACTGTTTTTCCCACAGGTACATACCTATGGTAAAGTTTAATACATAAATTAGGCACAGTAAGAGATTATGACTGTCCATTTATTAACATTTCATTTATTAACAATTATAACAACCATAATAAAATAGAACAATTACAACAATGTACAGTAACAAAAGTTATCTGAATGTGATCGCTCTCCCTCTCTCGCAGACTATCTTACTGTATGTAATATTTTCAGACCGTGGTTGACTGTGGATAACAGATCTGGGAAAGTGAAACTGTGGGTAAGGGGGCGCCTCTGTAGGAGAGGGTAGTTGGTGCATGTAACGGGTGTGTCTCAATGTGAGCCCTCCCATGGGGGCAACAACACCATAGTAAAGTTTTGTTTCAAGGACTTTTTAGTAGGCAAGTCTATGTGACCTGGCGATGGGGAAATGAATAGTCACTCCACAGAGAACAAGAGGCAAAAAAGTGCTTTGTGTAGAGCAAGCATTTGGAGGCTACCTGTACCATACCGTTTTGGTGACTGGTATGTGTGTTGGCAAATTTGATGTAAATTGCTTCTCAGGTCATTTACCTATGTGCTGAGGGGCACATAAAAGCATGGATATAACTGTGACCACAAAAAGTCATGCTATTCTTTGCTTGAGAATGTCCAGGCACTGGAGCAAGGTCATTCGGAGTTTGCAGTCTCCTAAGAATCTAGTCTAAGCAGGTATTTCAGAGAAACCAATGCCTTTTATTTTGGTAGACAAGCCACCAGAACAAGGATACAATTTTGGCTATGTGGGTGCATGCGGAGTGGTAGTCCATGGATGTTAACAGCAAATTATTATTAATGGACTCTGTGTATAGCAGGGGTTTTCTAACTTTTTCTGTAAAGGGCCAATAGAAAATATTTTGGACTAATGGTGCCACTACATAACCTCATTCAACGCAGCCTCAATCAGCTCTGCCTTTTTAACCTCTCCCCTGCCTTTGTGGCAAGAGAACAAACAGCCTTAGAGAGTACTTAAATGAGAGGGCGGGCTAGGTTCCAATACAACATTATGACACAGCAGTGTGAATTTTATATAATTATCTCATGTCATGAAATATTTGTTTTTTGACTTTTTCCTCCAAACCTTTAAAACAACAAACATCATTCTTAGCTCAGGGGGCTATAAAAAAAATGCAGGCAGCTCCTAATTTGACAGGGGGGCTGTAATTTGGGAGTCCTGATGACATGCCGGGAGTAGTTAATGATTCGCAATTAATAAAAATTATTTGTTCCTCAGTTGTATGTTCAGTTAGTGCCATGAGCTGTCTGAACAGCTTAACTTTCTCTGGAGTAAGATGCAAGAAGTTGAATTCCGCATTACCTTAATGCAAGCATCTTAGTGTCAGAACCCTGTGAGCTGAGAGGCCGAAATCATCTTGCTTATAGGGCTTTAGGGGGTGGAGATTCTCTACCCTCTAATCCTCTTATTCTCCTTTTACTTGACCTTCCCTCCAGGCACAGAGGCTGGCTAAGTGAACGCTGATCCCTGATCCCCCTTACGGGAAACAGCAACCCCCTACCCACCCCCAAATCTGCCTCAGCTCCTTGAGAGTTTCAGGTGAGGCTGAAGAATAATGGGATGATTAATCCCATTGTAGGGATTAAGAGCCCCAGTTACAGTGACTGCTGAGGACATTTGCTCACTGACGTGATAGAGCCAGGGAAGGAGGAGGTGACAGGAGATCTTCCCTTCCTGCCTTAGGTCTGCTGGGCAGGGTTTTCACCACATGGTTGTCATCCCTCACCTGCTGCAAGCGAGTGTGCTCTTTTTGCACACTTACATGGGGGAACTTGTGTCTTGAGAGTTTTGTAATCTGGTTCTTTTTCTGGCTGAAGTCTGAGTGACCGCCCCCAGGGTTGAGAAAGAAGTTGAACGTTAACATTTCATATCCTGTGTCTTTCTCCAGCAGCCAACAGAGTAGCCAGCAGAGCAGCCACGACGATGATTCTAGCAGGTTCCTGAGTCCTCGAGTGCGGGAAGAAAGGTAAGAGCAAACGAGGAGGGTGAACATGGAAGCAGAGATTAGAAGGGCAGGGATGAGAGGTTTGAGTAAAATTGTGCTTCTGTTGTGAGAAAGAACTGTGGAAAGTCAAGAGAAATAGGAGATGCCAGACTGCTGTGCTCAGACTAACTGGAAAGTCAAGTGCTGAGTCGGGGCGACTTGAAGGCGCTGATTCTAAAGGCTTCAGGGTTCAGTAAGTGGAGAAGACAGTAGGTGGCAAACCAGATATGTTGGGGAGCCATCAGAATAGAGTTGGGACTTGAGGCACACCTTCTGTGTCAGGTACAGTGTGGATGGGGGTGGGTGGGTATCCTGTGCCTGGCCTGGGACGGCATGTACAGCTGATAGTGCAAACGGCAGGCAGGCACCAGCCTGATGGGGGTGAAGTGAACTGTACAGTCAGAGGTTGTTGGAGAATGAGTTTGGAGGTGCAGTGGCTAGAATTGTAACAGGGTGGTCCCCAGGAAAGGGGGAGGTTCCAGGTTTTCTGCCCCACCCAAGGGAGGGCAGAGCTGAGTAGGGTGAGAAGAAGCTGCAGAGGTGACTGAGAAAGGAAGGAAACAGGATGGAGAGCCAGGAGGAAACCTGGAGGAGGCACATGGAGCCGAGAGACACGTGAAGAAACTGCGCCTGCCTTTTGGGTCGTGGACTGGATGACACAGATGTGGGTGAGAGACCCATGGGGAGGTGACAATGGTGGTTTTTGTCTTGATTTTGATTTTGCTCTTTTCCTTCCAGACTTGTCTGGTTGTTTCTGATCCTTTTCTGTGGGTCCCCACTGGAAGATGCTTTAGACTTGTGGCAGGCTTTGGGGCCTTGCTCTGGGCCAATCCTGCTTGGGTGGACTTTTACCCACGAGGGGATGGGTAACTTTGTGTACTTGATTTAGAAACTATATTCTTCACCTTTTCCTGTGTTGTTTCCTAATTTTATTAAAGTTCCTTCCCATTAAAGTCTCATGTTTTGTGTTGATGTGGCAGATGGCGGAACCTATTTAGAGCAGGCAGGTTTGCGGGGTCTGGGCTGCCCCTCTCCCTGCCCTGTAATTGAAGGAGGCTTCCAGATGCTGTATAAGGATCTGAGGTACAGCTTTGAGGATCAGCCAGCTCCTGCTTCATGTGGTGCCTTAGCCGGTAGACACTGTGGGGGTCTGTTGTGACAAGTTCAACTTCTGTGACCAAAGACATTTGACCGTATTGATGTTAATGAAAGGAGGTCATGGGGATAATGCAGAGTTCTGGTTTTGGTCAAGATCTGTTTACCACTTTTATCAACAAACTGGATGAAAAATAAGATGCTTTAACTGCATGTATTAAATTTATGGCAGACAGTCATCTGAGCGGGAGTAGAGAACACGGGATGATAGAATCAAGATTTAGTGTTATGTCAAGTAGATGAATGGATGGCAACAACAAGGAAATGGGCATTTACGTATTTATTTATATTAATATGACATAAGAGTTTGTAGATTTTGTTAGAATAATTTCGGTATAGGATCACGACAGGGAACGTAATGGGCAGGATTTCTGTGGGGAAAAAAAAAAGTCACTCTAACCTGCATTACTTTGACTATATCTGGTATGTCATGCCCAATACTTTGGAAGCAGAAATTGTTGCGTTGAAGTGTAGAAAAGACTATTAAGAATGCTAGTGAATGTAGGTGTCAGAGGTTCATGGAGACTGCTAACCATATCGTTACAAGGTTCACGGGAAGGCAAGGGGGTTAGCCTGGAAAAGAGAAGGTGTCTGATGGATTAACAGTACTCTTTAAATATCTGAAAGACTGAGAAATAGAACTGGATGTGGAGAAGTTACAGGGAGAAGAATATCTTCTAAGGATAAGGAGGAACTTTTCTCTCCTTAGAGCTGTACTAGAATGGAGCAGGCCTTGTGAAATAATTAAGTGCCCCCTCCCCCATAAAGGATTCCCTCCTGAGGGGGGAGGGTGGAACCTTGCTAATCCTTTTTTCTTTAGAGATTATAGTCCTGTGAGTTCTGCCCTGGTTCTTGGTTTTATGTTCATTGTTAAGCAAAATTAACAGCTCAGCTCATTGGTTTAGCTGGAGTATAGACAAGGGTGTGGGAGGCCCTAAGGGCCAAAGACTAATGGTTTTTTGTCAAGATACTTAATCAGTTGTGAGCTGATGCCAGTTCCCTTGGTCTCTAGAGTGGCCCACACTCTTTTCAGTGTTTCCTGGATTTCACCAAGTAGGCTTTCAAATCAGAAGGGGCTATAGACTTTTCTTAATGCATCTGCCTTCCCTGGGCTTGGGAGCCGAGCCTCTCTAAATAGGTACCATCCATTTCTGATTGTGATGTCTTCACTTGCTCCTTCTCTGTCAGCTCTGGGATTGGCAACCCCTGCATTCAGTTTGTGCTGCTCAGGGCATCCCTGGGAGACATGAATTGCACCTACCTTAATACATTTTCCCCAAGGCAACCTATCTTTTACTCTAGGACTTGGCAGCTTGCTCACCAGAGAGCCTTGTTTTTGTTTGCTATTTGGGATTGTATATTGATATAAAATATATTTTAGCTTTCCTTTGCCTACTCCCCCAACCAAATGTAATGATACAAAGGGTCTCCCATGCAAAGAAAAAGCAAACCTCTAGGTATCTTGCCTGGTCTTTTCTTTCCATCCCTAAACAACTGACAGTCCCTTGAGCTCTTTATGGTGGACAGTGGACATAGTTTTCCATCTGCTTATCTTGAGAGGATGTGATCAGGAGTAATCATCCCTTGACTGTCGCCGTGGACCCTCAGAAACTCAGGACGGTTATGTGTTCCCCGTGACCTTTCTGAATGAAGTCTTTATCTTCTCAGTGGGTTCTCGTGGAGAGAACACATCCCCAGAGCACTAATTAATCATCCAGCCTCAGCTCAGAACAAACCCCTACACTCTGCATCCAATCCTTCCTCTAATATGTTTCCACCCAATTAAGAGTCTCTCTGGGGTATTTTGGATGTTGGTCTGTGATGTCCTGGCCTAGGGCAAGTGTGAGATCTGGACCCTGGGGAGAGGCTGAGTTAAGGCTGAGATGGGGATCTGACTGATGCTCTTCGCTCTGGGAGCCTTTTGACCGGCAGCGCCCCCTGCTGTTAGGCGGCGGCTCCTACACAGGTAAAGCTGGTATGTAATCATTTCAGTGACTCTTCCACACCCCCTATAAGGTGGGTAGAACAGGTATTAATTATCATTATGATTTGAAAATGAGTTTGAAGTGAAGTGAAATTAATTCTGCATACCACGTGGTCAATTATAGGATGAAGGAGAGTTTCATAGAGCAGGTAAAAAAAATATTAGCATTGACTTTTCTCTTTTAAAGATCAACATTACAATCCTTCAGTATGAAATACATTTTCAGTTGGTTAAATAAAACATTGATTTCTCCCCTCTTTTTCTTAGGCAAGGTTCAGAATGGATATACGCTTTAGAGACAAAATAACTACCTCACTATGGTTTAAAAAAATGTCCACATTACAGCAGTAGGCTAATGTCTCAATACGGTGTCCAAACCTAAGGGCTTTTAAGAATTTTTTTTCTTATTTATTACTTCAATGCTCTGTCTTAAAGGGAAAGAATCTTTGGAGCCGTGGTGGAGGTAGATGGTGGGTGGGTGAGTGCAGGAAGACAATACAGGTGTGCCTCTGGGAGAGGTTTTACTCTAGGAGAAGAATCAGTTTATTGGGAAATAGATTTTTCTCAAAGAGGAATAATTACCTCCCCACCACCAGATTTCTAGTAGAAAAGAAAATAGATGTAACTTATGTATGTATCTCTAGGTATATATAATGGAATAAGGGCTATTAATCCATTCTCATGCTTCTAGGTGAAACCAGGCATACACTTTAAAAACACTATTTCCCAGGTTTAGCCCAAACTGAACCCATCATTCAGGTTTCCTAAAACACCCAATATTTATTTAGTACAATCACCCAATGGCAGGAACTTTCAAGCAAAGCCAGGACAGGCCTCCCTGGTGGTGCAGGCCGTTGAGCACAGTGCTGTGACGTTGTCTGCAGCCTCTGCAGTGCGGGTTCGATTCTGACCGGCCAGGGCGATATCCACATGGCACAGCAGACCTCTTCTGTCTCGCCCGCTGCTCCCTTCAACAGTGTATTTCATCAGTCTGCCTGTTTTTGTTTTTTTTTTTTTTTTAAGATTTATTTATTTATTTATACATACATACAAACACTGGGTATAGTCAGAAGCGCGGGAGGGTGAGAGAATTCACCAGAGCCAGAGCGGGGAGCAGAGCAGGCAGAAGGACCGAAGTACACTGCTGAGGGGAGCAGTGGGTGGCAGGAGAGGTCTGCACTCCATGTGGGACCTTCCTCCGGTGGCCGGGGAGCAGCTGGGGATCGAACCGGCGCCTCAGAGGCCGCGGGCAGCTTCGCAACCCAGCCCTCAACCGCTGCGCCACCAGGGAGGCCCAGTCTGCCTGTTCTATTCCCCACTCTATCTCTGGTGAATCCTCTTGCCTTCCTGCACATCTGGCCTGTACTCCAGTTCTTGTATAAATAAATAAATCTTAAGAAAAACAAAGCCAGGATGATGGAAAAGAGCTGTTTTACTAGGGACCATTTGCAATGTATTAGCATGGTCTTGGCTGACCTGGGAGCCCTTCAGTGTCAGGAAAGTGGAGACCTGGGCTAGGGTGTGACTGAGTACCCGAGCTGTGGGCATCTTGCTCTTGGACCAGTCCACATTCCATTTATGCATGCAAGCAAGGGAGCCACACACCTTTACTAAATGCCTGTAAGATGTGGGGAGGCTGCTGGAGTCCTGGCTGAGAAATGAGTAGAGTGGACTTCTGTGTTGGCATGAGTGGAAGTCTCATAAGTCAGGCTTCATCACAATGACCATCTTTGTCCCTTATTAACTGCACATTTGAAAATGCAGTGTACTTAGTTTTATTCACACTTAGGCTCCTCATTTGTGAGAGTCTTTTCTGAAAGACTAAATGAGAGAACATGGGTAA